CCAGTCAATGTTGCAACCTTGCTACTGTCGCAGACTTGGCTGCTGATCTGTCACATTATGTCACAAACAAGGAATTGGGCTTACATCTACATGTCACAAGAACTTGCCGAAGACATTGGCTTAATAATTTACAACCTATGCACATAAGTGCAATGAGACATTGGGCTGGCAAGGAAAAATAGACACACTCGGCTCCAGCAAAGAAGTCGAACACATTGGCCAATGGCGTCCTTGAACTTCACCCAAAATCACAACTCACCTAGGATCACCCCAGTCGCCACCATGGATCTCTGCACTTGCTCAAGATGTGCCCAACTCAGTTTTACGGACGCAAATGGAAACGAATTCCGAGGTCAAATTATCTCGAAACGCAATATAACGAAGCATGTCCGCTCTGATCAAGCAAATGCTCTTTGTCCAAAATTCCAAAACAACAGTGACTCAGAACACCTTGGCCCTGCTTCACCCTCTTCTTCTACAACCTCTTCGGGATATATTCCCTTTGAAAAATCTTCTACAGGTAAGCTCTCCATAATCTCAATCTGTTTTACTTTTTTTTTGTGTCTCACTAATGTCAAACATTTCCAGTTGTGCTCATTTTGTCAGTCTTTATGGCATGGCTCCATTTGTTCTGCGGTCTCAGTGTCAACAAATGCCGTCTGGCACGAACGCAAGATCCTGACCCTCAAAAATTCTCCGAAAAATCTCTTCCAAAAGATATCGCAACCATCATGAAAAGATTGAATGTCACACCAAATCTCAACTCATGTGTCTGCTGTCCAACGTGTTTTTCGATGTACTTTCCTCCTGACATTCCCACAACATGTGTATACAAAGAAACTTCACGATCTCGAGAATGTGGCGATCTCTTGTTTTCAAGCAGCTCAAGATTATGGACAGAAAACAACATTGGTCCAACTCAACGGGTCCCGAGTCGTTACAAACAGCTAGTCAAACGGTTTGAAGCCCGCAGCCCAACTCCAACATCCATCTATGTGACTCAACCCATCAAAAGCTGGTTATCCTGGTTCCTGAATTGCAAAGACGTTGAACACAACATATCGGATTGGTCAACACAGCTCAACTTGGATGACAATTCTGTAATCCAAGACATCCAACAAGGGTTGGCTTGGAGGGAGATGAAATGGCCGCACGATCCAGTCGAAACTCACCCACTACATCTCACTTTTTCCCTTTTTATCGATTGGTTTAATCCCCGTGGAAACAAAGTTGCAGGGAAGCAGCAATCTCTTGGCTTGATGTCGATGAACTGTCTCAACTTGCCGCCATCAAAGCGAAATCTTGTCTCTTACACTTACATCGCTGGTATCACTCCCGGACCAAATGCTCCCACAGTACTCACAATCAATCACTGCCTCAAAAGCCTCGTGGACAATCTTCTACATCTTAATGAAGGCCTCAATTTGAAGACCAGTATGTTTCCTGAAGGTCGGTTGGTCCGAGTACGATTGCTTCCGCTACTAGGAGATATGGTTGGTGTTCACAAAGTCGCTGGGTACGCATCTCATAGTGCAACTCTCTTTTGCTCGTGGTGCAAGTCTGTCAAACCCAATCTTGATCAACTAGAGCTCGGAGAACCTCGGACTGAGGAAGAAACCACTAGAGATGCTCTGAAATGGAATACTTTGAAAACTATCAGCGGTCGAGAAAAGCACCTTCAACAAACGGGGGTCAGGTGGTCCGAGCTCAATCGACTTCCTTATCGCAATCCAGTTCAACATGTTCCGCTTGGCTATATGCATAACTGGTTAGAAGGTATACTACAGCATCACTTCAGAACTCGGTGGGGCTTCGACACTTTCCTAGTCGAGACACAAAAAAGGAAACAAGAAGAACGACAAGCAAAATTTCCTGCGAAATTTGTCAAGGTTGTTGGCGATGAAACTCTACTTGAGTCTAGTGACGACGATAACGGCTGGTCAACAGAATCAAGTGTTGAAATTGACGAGTTCAACATCGGTGCAGGTTTCCTATCCGATGAGCAAATACAACAGTTCAAGGACCTTGAAAAGGAAACCATCTTGCCGTCTAGTCTTGAACGGCCCCCTCAACCATTTGGTGAGAGAAAAGCTGGAAAATGGAAAGCCAACCACTGGTACTGCCTTTTTCAATATATCATTCCATTAGTAGTTATAGAAATGTTTGTCAACAATCCTGCCAAAGTTAAAACCAACTCAAAAAAAACGCTGGTCCTAACCAATGTAGGGGCACTCTGTTGTTGCACTAGTGTGGTTTGTGCAAAACAAATCACATCAAGGGACCCAGATGTCTTCAGAACTTACTACGCTCGATATAATGCTACATCTCAAAAATTATTTGAAAATCTCAATGTCGTACCGAATCACCATTATGCCCTCCATATCCCTGAACACTTACGTATATGGGGGCCCCTACATCAGGTTGCTGAATTCACTGGTGAGCGATTAATAGGCTTCTTGCAGAAGATTAAAACCAATTCCAACATAAGTAAGTTTGGATATTAAGAAGAAGTAAAGACAAATAACTGATGATGATGTCTTGCAGAACAAATCCATAGAACTATGTTTCGGAAGGCATGTGCCCTTCAAAGATTGAATCAGCAGTACGACGAGACGGTTGGTATTCACAAGGCTCAGAAGCTCAATCAATCCAACACAATGTCACTGCGTGAAGACGACTACGACACAATACTGATGCAGCTTCAGGCTAAAGATCATTCGGTTCACCACTTCCGCAATCTACCTCATCCACCAAATGCTTGAGTCTTTCTGAATTACGCAACACCTCTCAAGACTTGGAAGTGGAAAGGGAAAGGAAACTTTGATATGTCAATTTCGGCTCACCCTCCAAACAACTGTGTGATGTATCAAGTGGGGGGTAAATACGAGTTTGGAATTGTCCAAAGTATCTTTATGATTAATCTTGAAGAAGCTGAACCTCGGATCATTATACACCCTTTTGAAAACAAGTACACCCATTCTCGCGATGCCACTGATGGAAATTTTCGCTCAATTCTCTCCTTGCTCAAGATATTAGCAGGAAGTATTGTAGATAAAAGGAGAGTTATTTCACCCAAGATGGTAAACTCCCTGTGCGCTTATAGAAAGCTAGGAGATAATGTATTTGGCTTAAGTAGTAATGGTATCTTAATTTGTCCATTAAACTATTCCAGTCTTCTTAACTAGCAATTCAATTCTTTTTGTTCTACACATTTTTTCTCAATTGATTCTTGTTGTTATACAAGTTTTTTCTCTCCCAAAAGGCTTAGACTGCCAAATCATCAGTGACCCTTCCGAGTCCAGAGAGCGTATCCTAAGTGAGTGGGGATGTGAATATACATGGCAACTCTCTGCAATAACGTTTAAAAATAAAAATCTCTTCACTAGCAAGAATTTCGGGCCAGATTGTGCAGGTTTGAAACTCACATTTTTGCTGAGGTGGCTGATTCAACTCAAAATAGAGATGGCCCCGTTGCATCCGGATATCCGCGCGGATGCGGATATCCGGCTGCCTTTTCAGGGGGAAGCCACATCCGCACCCGCAACCGCAACCGCGGGCGGGTATCCCCCCGCCTGAGCGGGTATCCGAGCGGGTATCCTCGGATACCCGGCCTTTAACTGGCCGGCGAGGATGAGCCTCGCCTGGTGAAAGAACC